ACCAATAGGACGTTGAAGGAGAGAAACGTGTGATTGAGAAGGAGTCAAGTTTAGATTAAGAAGTGATTAAAGGGTCAGTTCACATAAATAACTTGTTTGAATTGACCTCAATGGGGCATGAGGATATTATTGGATGTTGACTTGACAACATAATATTACATCTAGGTCATTTCAGAAGCTGCACCTGAGCTTGTGATCAGGTCGAATGAGCTTCATCTGTCTTTTTCCCCGATTTGATTATTTGAAGGTTGAAGTTCAAAGTTGATTCTGAGCCTCAGAAACAACAGAGTCTATTATTATTCTGGGCACAGAGGTCAAAGCCACAGCGTCCAGTCCGTCCAATAACCAAAGACTCAAAGACACATTACATTTATTGGATTCGGCCTCTTTAATAAAACCTAATAAAACCTCAGACCCAGATTCATGAATCAATAAAGACACCAGGACATGACTGTGCAGTACAGGCTGCACGTAACCGTGACAGAGGCAGCGAGGGAGAGCGAGAGAAAAAGAGAGAGGGAGAGAGGAGGGACGACAGACGAGCAGATGCAGAAATCGCAGAGTGAGACAAAAGTGATGAAGTGACAGTTTAGTAACGACTGGGAGGAAGAGAAGAGTGTCTCAAAGTGTTGAGTAAACTTTGATCTCTGCCTTACATAACCCACTCTATCAAATAAGGAACAGCCAAGATTCACTAACGAGGTGATAACACATGTCGTCTCTCCCTCCCTCCTGCAAAGCTTTTCTCTCTCTGCTCTTCACCTCCGCGGCAACGAAAACCTCGACCTCTCATTCAGCTCCTGTCAGCACCGAACACACAGTGTGCACGAGGCAACTGCTGCAAACTTTGTTGTTGTAAATGTTTGTACTCCGTGTTTTTGGGCCATTTGAGGACAACACAACAAACTGTAATCACCACAGACATCACCTCATAAAGCAGTAAAATGTTGGCTAACAATTCACCTATCAAACACCAGCGTGGAGCCACGTTAACGCTCGTTTGAAGCTGTGTTGTCGGCACTTAATGAATCTCTTAGCTCCGTGTTTAGTCTCCAACAGCTCCTGAGGGATAAATGTGGACATTTAGCTGCTAAACGCTCCGATAATCTTCACCTCAAGTTTATCACATCATCGAAACAATCCCGCCCGCTGCCACAAGACAGATGAGAGCGAACCAAAACGTCGAAGCTGCAGATCCCAAAACAATGAGCTGCAAGGAGCTAAAGCGTTACGTGAAAGCTGAGAAGAAACTACACAAGTTTAGCAGAAACATGAAAACTTGAACAAGAGCGATAAGAACGAACTAAAACAACAGATGACATTTTAGTTTGGTCCAGGTTCCGTTTAATAACACGGAGGAGGCAGAGGTTATGACCTATTCTGTGACCAGCCACCAGGGGACGGACGAGACGTGATGGCTTCACTTGTCGTCTATCTTTATGTTAATGTTAATATTGATTAATGCAGCTTTAAACTCATTTTGACGACAAAATTAAAAAAACAGGCTTCTGGTCCATTAATCAAGTTCACCTCACGTTACAGTGACGTTTAACAGGGCGAGGGCGGAGTTTATCATAAAAACAGAAAAACCTGCATAAGCACACAACAAAAAAACACTGAGAGGGTTTTCATGACGATGAGGGATAAAGATGGATTGAGATCATTCGCTCGGAGAACCTGGATAATCAAGATAAACTGAGCTCTCCGCTGTAACGACCGCACGTGGATCAGAGCTGAAATGTTCCAGTGCCACACTCAGAATGTTTCCCATTAAAATTATCTCATCTAATTAACCTGAGGCTGAATCTGTCAAACGTCCACTTTGTGTTCCTCCGCTGCTGTTTCACATCGAAGACTCAGGAAACTTGCTCCAGGTTTCCATGCAACCGCCTTCTACATGTTGTTTTCTTCATGCTTGTGAGCAGAGGTAATCCTACTTTTCAGAATTTATTAGTGCAGCAGAGAAAACAAATTGGAGCTCAACTCCCTTTTTCCTGCAGCTGTAACTCTCGTCCACCTCGATGTTTGCGTTTCAGAAGCTGGAAACTTGTTTTCACGGGTTCGGGGCACGGATAAGCACAAAGCCAGAGGACGACCGATTGGATTTCTGCCATTAAATGATGATTTAAGTGATAAAACTACATCCAAACAGGGGCCTTCACAGATATCTTCAGGCCGAGTGAGAAGTGATTTGACTTTTTGATCCTCAGGAATGACGTCTTTAAATGTTACTGCAAAGATGGAGATTTATTGATAGGAATAATTTAGGATTATTGGGAAATAAGTCAAGATGAGATCAAAGCAGGGATGTTTTCTGTCTTTATACTCTGAATTATTACTTTTTCATGGGTAAAGCACTTTTTACTCTGAGCTCAACAAACAAAAAACACATTTCTTTACCTTTTTTCATTATTTCCTTGCTGACATCACATTTTTTTCTCACACAGATTTTCAGTCTGTCCGCAAAGATAAGAGACGTAACAGTGGCACAGGTAAACACACACACACACACACACACACA